AATTAGATTTTGGGGTGTGGGAAAGGGGGAAATCTGTGTAATCTATACACTCACACCACCAAGGTACAAACAGTAACCACGCTACTCTTCTATGTTGTTGTTGTGAAGTGCCATTGAGTCGGTTCCAACCCATAGCAACCCTGTATAGGGTTTCTGAGGAGCAGCTGGTAAGCTTGAACTGCCAACCTTGCAGTTCAAATGACTTTGCAGTCTGGTGCATTAACCCACAGTGCCACACCAGACTCCTACTCTTCTATAGTTGCTATAAAAGTGAGGTCACCCTCCTAGGTAACTGAATCTATAACCAATGGAACTGGGGTGGCCCTAACCCTTCTTGTGCGTCAATAGACCCAGATACGAAATGCCATCTATCAAAATAGATTAGCCCTAAACTACTTACTGGCTGCGGAGGGAGGACGGGTATGTGAGAAGGTTAATTTTGCTAACTGCTGCATACAAATAGATGACCGGAATCTGGCAGTAGAAGACCTTGTAAAAATGCAGAAAGTTGCCCATGTCCCTGTGCAAACCTGGAATGGGTGGAACCCACAGAGCCAATGGGGAGGGTAGTTATTCACCTTTAAAGGGTTCAAGACCCTTGTGGGTGGGATCCTGTTTCATTTGGAATTTACTTAATCAGTCCATGACTACTCCCACTAGCATTTGGGCCATAGGAACTGCCATTAAAGCAATAATCAATTGAAAAGGGCACTAACAATCCAAATCAATACCAAAATACCATTCCTTAGGCAACATTTAGATGATGCCTCTGGGGAAAAGATCCCAAAGGGCATCAAAGGGGGGAATGAACAGGAAAAGGTAGAAACATGAACTGTCTCTTCCCCACCCAAGAGACAAGCTAGAATGCTAATCAGGTCACCAAATGGGACCAATCCCCCGGTTTTCCTCCAGTCCTCAAACAGATCAGCACCCTAGCCCCACCCAAACTCTGACCCCATATAAGCCCATGTTGCCCTCCATTCGGTGCTCAGATCTGGAGAAATTAGCTCCTCTGAGCCAGCCCACTTAAAAATCTGGAACTCTGCTTCACCTCTCCAAGTGGCCTCAGTCTCTTGGACCACGGATCAAGAGCTGCTGTGACAGTCTCCAGCCTGGGGCTGCTGTAACAATAGTTTCGAACTGCTGACCTTGAGAGTAGCAACCCCACTCGTAACCATTACACTACCAGAGCTCCCTCATTAACATCATAGCAGTGAGGATTTAGAACACAGATGATAATTACATCAGAGCTAACCATATCATTTCACATCATGGGTTTGGTTGCATCAAATGAGATCTCATCATGAAGGTTATAGCTGCATCTTAACTGCTAAACTACTGAGAATCCTGGCCAAGTCAAGTTGCCACCAAATGCACCATTGCCCACCAATGCCCAAAGTCACTGCTGCCTCAACAAAGACACAAAAGTCACAGAAGATGCTGTTGAGTCCTAGCAGATAAAAGGACTTTCTTTGCCCTTTTATTTCACTCTATTGTATGAGACGGCACTTAACAACAACAACAACAACTGTATGGGTTACATTGCACTTCAGACTAATACTCCCCATACCTTGTTGAGATTTTTCTGATACTGGTCTTAAAATGTTTACTTGCTTTTAATGACTGCCTTCCCTGCCAAGTACTCAGGCAGTACAAGCTAATGGTGGTTGGTTTAAATTTGAAAAGACAACATCACTTCCTTCTAACATCTTCCTTTAGTCCTTGAATCTTTTCAGGATCCCAAAATGCTGTCTTTGCTTAGGATTCATCCTCCCCAGGGGGCAATTTCACCCTTCATGTGCAAATAAATTCCTTATGGGTCCATCTCCAGAGTCTCCAAACATACCTAAACTGTCTGGACACCAAGGCCAACATACTTTATTCTCTAAAATTAGGCTTCCTGTTGCATGGTGATTTCGTTTTTTAGATCATTTGAAATTTTGTTGACTTGAAAAAGCTTCTTCTTCTTTTTTTTTTAATTAAGCTGAAGTGATTCTTACAAAAGCCTGTTCTTTTCTGCCCCTATAATAAACAGGGATTCCAAATTCTGAGCAAAAATTGAAACATACAGGATGGCCACACATGTTGGCACTTTTCAATGGCTGGCTTGCTGGGGTCTTTATGAGGGCTCAATATTGTTAATGGTGTGCATAAAATTCAAATACCATGAAAATAAAGGGAAAAATCTGTCAACTATAATGTCCATAGCTTATTTTCTGTTCTTTCCTTGTTGTTGTTACTAAGTGACGTCAAGTCAGTTCAGACTCATGTGGTGGTTATGTGCCGTGGAGTTGGTTCCAACTCACAGTGACCCTGTACAGGGTTTCAGAGGCTGTAAATCTTTACAGGAGCAGAAAGCCTCATCTTTCTCCCGCGGAACTGCTGGTAGTTTCGAACTGCTGACTCTGAGGTTAGCAGCCCAATTTGTAAACTCTATGCTACCAGACCTCCAACTCATAGTGACCGTCTATATAGTTTCCAAGAAGCGGCTGGTGAGTTTGAACAGCTGACCTTGGGGTCCAGTGATTTATCCTACAGCACCACACCAAGACTCCCTCTTTCCTTAAACCATTGTTTTTCCACCTAAACTGAGACATTTTTTTCATTTGAGAGAATTTCATTTTCACACATGGCTCTGATTGGCAAAATTTGTTTTTTTAGCTCATTGGGTCTACCTCAAATTATTTTACTAATACATTATAAGTTCAACTCCAAAGAAATGAGAGTATGCTTTACAATAGACCAGTGATGTTAACTTCTAGTCAAAACATTCCAAATCCAAGGAACTGCTAGCTTCAGCACTTCCAAATATCTGTGCTTGGAGTCTTTGCTTGTTTATAGCTGAGAAACCTGACCTGAAATCCCTTAATAAATATTATTTGGTGAAATTGTTGATAAGATCATGGGCATTGACCCTCCACTTATCCTCCTCAGCATTAAGAAGCTAGCTTTCTGCACTTGAAAAACTGCCTTTACAAACTGATCCTCATTTAGTGCCTTTAAACAAAAAGCTAAAAGGGCTTCCACTCAGCCACCTCCTCTAGGGCACAGAGATGGTGTCCTTCAATCTCACTGTGCTTAAAAGTTGCTAGACTTACATACAATTGACAAAAGGGATATTCAGTGTCTGTCAGCCTTTAACTGTGATGGGATATAAAAAGGTTGGGGTTTGGAGATTTTAAAGAAATTGGACCTTTTGAAATAGCTTGAATTCACAGAGGCCTGTTAGAATTTGGCTGCCTCTTAAAAAAAAAAAAATTCTAAATGAGGTTGACAATGAAGAATTATGGACTGCACAACGAAGGAGTATCAATGTGAACAATTAATACTGGGAAACAGGTTGCGAAATCTCCGTATAAGCCACATGCCATCTGGCCCAGAAGCAGTCATTCTACCAGAGTGACATCAAAGGTCGGCGGGAGCGAGAGCCGTATGTCCCACTGCCAGGCTCCTGGATTTTATTTCTCATTTAAGAGAATCTGATCTGTCATTCCTCTGGCTCCTGTGGGCTTTAAATTCACATAATCAACATATCACTGCCAGAGACTTAGTAATAGCTAATGCAGTCTAAAGGTGAGTGGAGAATAATCATGCTCCCAAAGCCAGATGCCTTCAGTTCGGCAAAGAAATAAAAAGTCCATCTCAGGCTCCAAAAAGTAAGGCAAATTGCTCTATGTGAAGGAGACCTGGCCTCCACTCACAGATGGGCTCGTAACTATATTTTACACCCTAGGAGGGCTGACTCTGCAAAATTTTAGGGCAGTGGTTCTCAAAATATGTTCCACAGACCTCTAAGGATTCCCAAGACTCTTTCTGAGGTTCACTGAGATTAAGACCATTCCCATAGTAGTACTAAGATGTTAAGGAGCTCTGGTAGTGTAGTGGTTACGAATTGGGCTGCTAGTTCAAAACTACCAGCCGTTCCACTGGAGAAAGATGAGGCTTTCTCCTCCCATAAAGATTTACAGCCTCGGAAACCCTGTGCAGGGTCAGTATGAGTCGGAACTGACTCCTCTGTACTTAACAACACCAACAGTAATTAAGATGTTAGGGTCTGTAGATAGTGCAAACAATTAAGGTTGGAGGTTTGAACTTACCCAGAGGCACCTCACAAAACGGGTCTGGCAACCTACTTTCCAAATGGTCACAGCCTTGAAAACTCTATGAAGCAATTCTACTCTATGCAAATGGGCCACCATGAGTTGGAATTGACTCAATGGCAACTAAAATTAAAATGTTACTTACCTTTTCCACAGGGAGCTCTGGTAGCGTAGTGGCTACGAATTGGGCTGCGAACCTCACAGTCAGCAGTTCGAAATGATAAGGAGAAAGATAAGGCTTTCTGCTTCCATAAAGATTTACAGCCTCGGAAACCCAGTACAGGGTAGCTGTGAGTCGGAACCAACTCCATGGCATATAACAACAACCTTTTTCACAGTTTGATATTTGCAACAATCGCACAAAAGTCATTGGAGCCTGAGATGGATTTTTTATGTCTTTGCCGAACTATACTTGTGGTGTTGTTGCTGTTAGCTGCTACCAAGTCAGTTAAGACCCAGAGCAACCATGCATACAATAGAACAAAACACTGCCTGCTCCTGCGTTCTCTTCACAATCCTCGCTATTATGTTCAAGGACATTGTTGCAGCCTCTGTGTCAATCCATTGTGTCAAGGGGTTTCCTCTTTCTTGCTGACTCTCTGCTTTAACAAGAATGATGCCTTTCTCCAGGGACCAGTCATTTCCAATAACATGTTCAAAGGACATGACACAAAATCTTGCCATCCACTCTCCTCAGCTTCTAAGGAGCATACTGGCTGTACTTCTTTTTTGGCAGGGATATCAAACTACTTAATCTGAAGGAACAGTACAAATGAAAAAACTGAAGTAGGATGTTTTGGTACATTTTGTAGAAAAGGTAAAAGTAAAGCAAACATGCATGTGGCTGCCTTGGTGGCCCAGGAAGTCACGCCTGTGGCCATGGAGAAGTCAGGCAAAAGCTCAGCTCTCTGCATCGCTGTCTCCCAGGGTGTGCTTGTCAAAGAGATATTCTGCCAGGCCAGAAGCCGGGGCCCCATCTTGCGCAAATTAGTTACATAGTCACCCAATTCTTTGATGGATTTCACCTGCTCATTCAGGTAACGCGTTTCAATGAAGTCACACAAGTGGGGGTCGTTCTTGTCAGTGGCCAGTTTGTGCAGCTCCAGTAGCGACTGATTCGCGTTTTTTTCCAATTGCAGCGCACACTCCATTGCTTTCAGCCCGCTCTCCCAGTCCTCCCGTTCTGGTTTCTTGATATCCTGCAGGAAGGTTTGACCACCTCATTGGTTCTGCAGCTTCATCAGTTTCTCAGCATGTTCCCACTCCTTATGAGACTGATGCAGATAATATTTGGCAAAATTCTTCAAAGCCACATCGTGGCGATTGAAGTAGTAAGACATGGACAGGTAGATGTAGGAGGTGTAGAGCTTCAGGAAGCCCTGTGCTGGAGCAGCCAAGGGGACCTTAGGGCATCCAAGAGTAAGGTCCCAGCTGGCTGGAGGTGGTGGAAGGTGATGGGGAGTGGCCGGTTGAGGGAGGCTGGCAAGCGCCGGTTCATTCAAACACTGTTGAAGCAGGAGACCTCAGTGACTCTGCGAAGAACATATCCTAGCTGTACTTCTTCCAAGACATATTAGTGCATCCATCTGGAAGATCATAGTATATCCAGCATTCTTCGCCAGCACCATATCTCAAATGCATCCATTTTTCCAGGTCTTACTTAGTCATTGTCCAGCTTTCAATTGCATATGAGTACTGAAAATACCATGGCTTGGGTCAGATGCACCACAATCCTCAAAGCGACATCTGTGCTTTTTAGTACTTTAAAGAGGTCCTTTGCCCAACATGTTTGATTTTTTTATTGCTGTTTTTCATGAACATTGATTGTGGATTCAAGCAAAATTAAATCCTTGACAACTTCAGTCTTTTCTCCATTTGTCATAATGTTGCTTATTGGTTCAGTTGTGAGGATTTTTGCTCTCTTTGTGTTGAGGTGTAATCTATAACATAGTCTTTGATCTTCATCATTAAATGCTTCAAATCCTCTTCACTTATAGCAAACAAGATTGTGTCAGCTACATGTCCCCATAGATTGCTAATGCGTCTTCCTCCAGTCCTGATGTCACATTCTTCTCATGTAGTCTAGCTTCTTGGATTATTTTACTCAGCATACAGACTGAATAAGTATTGTGAAAGGATACAACCCTGATACATAGCTTTCCTGATTTTGAAACATTCAATGTCACCTTGTTTGTATTAGAATGACTGCCTCTTGGTCTATGTACAGATTCTGCATGTGCACAATTAAATTCCTATTTTTCACAATGTTATCTAGGATTTGTTATGATCCACACAGTCAAATGCCTTTACATAGCCTATAAAACACACGTAAGCATCTTTCTGGCAGTCTCTGCTTTCAGTCAGATCAATCTGACATTAGCACTGCCAATGTACTGTTGCAACTGTTTTTTAATTATTTTCAGCAAAATTTTACTTGTTTGATACTTCCTGCCTTCTATTGTATCATCTTTCTTTGGAATGGTTTCACATATGGGTCTCTTCCAGACTATTGGCCAGGTCTTCCCAATTTGTTAACATAGATGAGTGAGTGTTTCCCGTGTGACATCCATTTGTTAAAACATCTCGATTGAAATGTCATCGATCCCTGATGCGTTGTTTTTCACCAATGCCTTCAGGGCGGCTTGGGCTTCTTCCTTCAGTGCTGTGAGTTCTTGATCATATGTGACCTCCTGAAAAGATTCAGCGCCAGCTCCACCAAGACAAGAAATCGTTGTGCTTTTCACTGAAAATTCCATTTTCACTTAAGAATATCCTTGATGAAACACCAAAAGGGATTAATTTCATTAAATCTCCATTCTTGAATATATATCCTTTTGCCATTCTGTGTGATGAAATAGAAAGAACGCGTAAGGCACTTTTGCTGCACACCAAAGCACAATAACTGTTTTGAAGAAAATCATTTATACCATAATTACAGTTAGCTGGAGAACCATGCTTACTTGAAAGAAGAAATGACAAAATGTGAGTATTCAAACGGGGATATTTGGCAGACATTTTTCCAGAAAAGAACCAAGTTAACCTGTTACAGCAAGAAAAGCCTTTGATGGTATTTGCTGTCAACGGTAAAATTCAAGCTTTCAAGTGAAAATTAGAACTTCGAAAAACTTGTGCCTGCCACCATGATCATGACAGCTTCTCACTAAAGACTTATCTGATGAGATCAGCAATGGTTAACAACAAAAGTGAATTTTTTAAATTATATAATGAAATGTGTCCACATTTGGAGGATCTACATAATTTGGTGAACCAATATTTTCCAGATGACCAAGGCTTGATGTTGCAGAACCATGCATGACTAAAAGACCCATTTAAAGTCAAGACAGCAATGGATTTCAATGTAACAGAGAATGAAAGGTTCATTGCTATGTTTCAGATTCCACATTATAGGAAACCTTTAAGAAACTACCACTAGAGTTTTGATTTCATTTTAAAGAATATCCCATTATCTGAAAGGTTACTAAAAAACCCTCCTTTCCTGCTGGGGGGAAAAATAGCCCTCCCTTTTCTAACAATGAAGGCGACTGGGTAGTGCAGGGGTTAAGTGCTCAGTTGCTAACCAAAAGGTCAGCAGTTTAGACTTACCCGCTGTTCTACAGGAGAGAGATGAGGCAGTCTGTTTCTGTACAGATGATAGCCTTGAAAACCCTAGGGGACAGGTCCCCTCTGTCCTGCAGGGTCAATAGGTGTCAGAATTGATGAGATGGCAGTGGGTTTGGGATTTTTGTTTTTTCCAACCATGTACCTGTGTGAGCCTAGATTTTCTTCATATATGTATATTTCACCCAAACCAAATATTCAAAGAGAATGTCAAAACAGGTATGAGAATCCAGCTATCTTCTATCAAGTCAGCCATTAAAGAGATATGCAAAAATATAAAACAGTACTGCTCTCTTCTACTTTCTTTTAGAAAATAGCTGTTTTTCATAACAATGTATTATTTATGTTCATGTTGTTGTTGTAGCATGCCGTCAAATGGTTTCTGACTCATAGCAACCCTGTATAGGGTTTCCAAGGAATGGCTGGTGAGTTTGTATCGCCCACCTTGGGATTCAAACTGACCTTTCAGTTCAGTGCATTATCATCCTGCAGTACCACACCAGAACACATTTATCAATGATATTTTATATAATTTAATGAACAAATATCTGTGTGAAGTTTTTGACATCAAAATTAGCTTCTGGTGGCATGGGGAGAAGAAAGAAAGATCGAGATCTCTAACTGCCAAGTGCAGTGCTCCTCAGAAACCCTATGTCAAAGGGTAGCTATCAGTCAGAGCTGACTGACTCCACGACCCTTAACAACAACAATCTCTTTTAATCCTCAGCACAGTCCTATGAGGTAGGGCTGCAGAACACATGGGGTGCCACAAAGAAAAGCTCGATGGGGTCCTCAGTACCATTTAAGAAGGCTGTCTGAGTTCTCCAATGCTGCTAGAACAGAAAGTCCGCAAGTGGATGGCTCTAACAATGAGAAATGTATTCTCTTGCAGTTTAGGAGGCTAGAAGTCCAACTTCGGAGTGTTGGCTCTAGGGAGAGGTTTTCTCTCTGTGTAGACTCTGGGAAAAGGTCCTTGTCTCCTTTCAGCATCTGTAGGACTCATGCTAAAGGGTCCTTATGCTCACAAAAAGCTCGGGTCATTATGTTGTGTTTTAAATTTCAACAATGAGGCACTAAACACATGTGGGAGATATAAAAAATGTTAACAATAAAAAGGGAACAAAGAGATATTTAGCTTTGAAAATATTAACACCACTACATTGGAGAGATAGTAAATACAGGACAATGCTAGGCTGTTTGGAGTAAAACCCAGAACTCTATAAAGCCCACCTTTCCATCAAAGTACTTAAGAACTCTAGTTAGGGAAGTCAACACACACCTATGAAAGCTAACTAACAACCTGGTCCAAGGTTAAATGAGAGAATCTGGCAGAAAAGTGACTTCTAGCTGGGGTGATCTTGGAGGACCAAAGACTGGATCTGCACCTTTAAAGATAAAACTTAAATGGGCAGAAAGGAGAGCAGCTTCCAAGTCAAGGAAGCAACACGGACAAAAATAGAAACGGAAAGCAGAGTATGTTCCAGAACAGGAGTCCTGGGGTGACGCTGTACGATAAACACTGGACCGCAAGGCTGGTTTCAACTGTAAGGTCAGCAGTTCAAATTCACCAGCCACTCCTCCAAAACCCTATACAGGGTTGCTATGAGTTGGAAACAACTTGATGACAATTAACAACATATTTGACTCAATTAAAAAAACAAAAAACAAACTGCCATTGAGTGGTGCTGTCTCTTTGTGCCCTTGAGTTTAAACCGACCTTCCGGTTGCGTGTTTATCCTACAGTGCCACACCAGGCTATGTTGTTGTTGTTGTTAAGTGCTCTCAAATCGGTTCAGACTCACAGCAACCCTGTATAGAGTTTCTGAAGTGCGCCTGGGGGGCTTGAACCACCAACCTTTCAGTTCAAATCGGCATTTTGGTCTGGTGCTTTATACTACAGTGCCACACCAGGATTCCTCACCAGGCTATGTTATTGTTGTTGCTGTTCAGTGTCATCGAGTCAGTTCTGACTCATAGCAATCC